AACTCTGCACTGTCCTCTTCCCTTGAGTCCCTTGCCCCTGTTATCATTTCACCAATTGAATTATGCCAAGCTTTAACCTTAGATCTCTTCAACTATCTGCTATCTTTGTTCCTATTCATGTGTTGCCAAATGAAAATGGAGAAAATCAAGCAGCTGTTCAGATTGGATCCAATACAAATTTATGTTATATAAGCTAAACTGGGCCCTCACTTCTGCCAGGCAATCCTACTACATTTCCCTCATCAGTTCACCATCCTACTTTCCACAGCAGCTCTTCCAAACTTTTTCATCACTCCTCAAGCCTCTCGTGGCTCCCCCTACCTACACCCTCTTAACCGAGGACCTTGCCTCATATTTTACAGAAAAAATTGGGATCATTCATTGTGACCTCTTTTATCTCCCCTCTTCCTCATCTAATGTCATTCATATGTCATCTGCCTCTGTCTCCTCCTTCACCCTGTCTCACAGATGAGTTGGCCTTACTCCTTACCAAGTCTAATCCTGCTGCCTGCTCAAGCAATGCCATTTCATTCCATCTCCTTGAATAGATTTTCCCCTCTGTCATCCCCATTTCACTAACTTTCAATCTCTTTCCTTATTGCCTACAGACATGCTAGTGTCTCCTTTATTGCGGAAAAAAAAAATAACAACAAAAAACCCTTAGTTGATCCTTCTATCCCTACTATCATTCTATATCTCACCTGCCCTTTATGTCTAAACTCCTTGAAAAGGTTATCTACAATACGTCTTCTCACTTATAATCCGGCTTCTAACCTCATCCTTCCACTGAAATCGCCCTCTCCAAAGTTACCAGTGATTTCTTAGTTGCTAGATTCAGTGTTCTTTTCTCAGTTCTTATCCTTCTTGACCTTTCTACAGCCTTTGACACTATTAATCACTCTCTTTTCCTTGATACACTCTTCTCTCTGTGTATTTGGGACACCGCTCTCTCCTGAAGGATCTTCTACCTTTCTGACTACTCCTTCTTAGTCTTCTTTTCCAGAGCCTCATCTAGATCACACCCTCTAAACACACATGTCTGAGAACACTTTCCTGGGTCCACTTCTCCTTCTGTACTGCTTCCCTTGTCATCTCATCAGCTCCCATGGATTTAGTTAACATGTCTATGCTTATGATTCTTAAATCTACCCATCCTTCCCAAGACTATCTGCTGACCTCCAATCTTTCATTTCCAACTGCCTTTCAGACAACTTGAACTGGGTATCCATTAGACATTTTTTTAAAAGCAAAGCTTTGATTAATATTTAATTTTTAAAAATTTATTTCATTAAATGTTTTCCAATAAAATTTATAGTTTTAGCATTCATTTAAAAAAATTTTAAGTTCCAAATTCTCTCCTTTCCTCTCACCCCTCCTTGACCCATTGAGAAAGCAAGCAATATGTTATCAATTACACATATGAAGTCATGCAGAACTTATTTCCGTATTAGCCATGTTGCAATAAACAAGAAAAAATAAAGTGGAAAAAAAACCTATGCTTCAATCTGTACTCAAAGTTCATCAATTCTCTCTTTGGAAGTGGACAGCATTTTTCATCATGAGTCCTTTGGAATTGTCTTGATCAGAGGAGTAGCTAAGTCTTTCACAGTAACAGTTAATCATTGTTACAGTAGTACTCTGTATACAGTGTTCTTTTGGTTCTGCTCACTTCACATTATATCAGTTCATGTAAGTCTTCCCAGGTTTTTCTGAAACCATGCTGCTCATCATTTCTTACAGCACATAACAATCACATATCATCATATACCATCACATATACTATCACGCTATATATTTATGTGTGTGTGTGTGTGTGTATATATAATGTATACACACACACACACACACACACACACACACACACACACTACAGCACTCCCTCACTTAAATCTGATTCACTTGCATGTCATGCATGGCATCACCTCCTTGATGTCATGGTCCTCTTCCAGAATGAAGGACAAATAGCAGCAATGATATACCACAACTTGTTCAGCCATTCCCCAACTAATGGGCATCCCTTCAATTTCCAATTCTTTGCCACCACAAAAAGGGCTGCTATTAATATTTTAGTACAAATAGGTCCTTTCCCCTTCTTCTTTGATCTCTTTGGAATACAGGCCTAGCAGTAGTATTTCTGGGTCAGAGAGTTTGTACAATTTTATAGCTCTTGGGCATAGTTCCAAATTGTTCTCCAGAATGATTAGATCAGTTCAGAATTCCAACAAAAGTGCATTAGTATTTCTATTTTCCCCTCCAGCATTTGTTATTTTCCTTTTATATCATGTTAGTCAGTCTGATAGGTGTGAGGTGTAGTACCTTAGAGTGGTTTTAATTTGCCTTTCTTTCTCTTTCTGCTGGGCCAATAGATACTTTAATCTCAATTTATTCAAAACCAAACTCATTGTTTTCCCCCTAAACTCTCTCCTTGCTCTCCCTCCTGATTACTGTAGTAGGCACACCTCAGGCTCACAACCTAGATGTCATCCTGGCCTCTTAACTCTCTCTCACACCTCTCTCCTCCCAGTATCCATTCTCTTGCCAAAACCAGTAAATTCTGTCTTTGCAATGTGTCTCAATTATACCCCTTTCTTCTCTGACACTGCCACCATCCTGGTACAGGCTCTTGTTATAGTCTCCAGGCGTGAGGTAAATGAGATAATAGTCTGGTCCGCCTGCCCAAAGTCTTTCTCCATTCTAATCCATCCTCCATTCATTCATCAAATTATTTTCTGGAAGCACAGTGTGACAATACAAGGCTTTTATGTTCATATTTCTTGTTATCTGTATTTTGGCCATTGTGATATACCTTATGATAGATATCCATTTGCCTTCCACTAAGGGGCAAATTTCAGTATGTTAGTCAACAAATATTTATTAAGCTCATACAATATTCCAGGTACTTGTTAGGCATGGGATTACAAAAAGAGGCAAAAGACAGTGTGTAGAGGTCAACATGTATATGTATATCTATTTGTGCCTACTTTGTTATCGATACTTGTGTGCACTGTGAATTTTGAGGTGAGGAGGAAAGCAAGAATGAGATTCAATTCAGTTAAGCACTCATTATAGTCAAGACATGTGCTTACTGTACTGGAAATAAAAAGATAAAATTAAGTAATTCTTTTCCCTAAAGAGCTTACCTTTGGGGGAAGGAGGAGTTTGGGAGGAATATTATACCTAAGCTCATAAATAAATGCAGATTTTATGGAAAGTAATACAAAATGATTTCAAAAGGGAAGCATATTAATGAATGGTGGAGAAATTGGGAAAAAGCCTTGTGTAGAGAGAAGTCAATCAGTTAGCAAGCATTTATTAAGCACTTACAATGTGCCAGGCATTCTGTTAAAAAGGCAAAAATAATCTCAGGTTTCAAGGAGTTTTCATTCAGATCAAGGACGTTGATAACAGAGTGTGTCCAGAAGAAGAGTCTGTAAGTTGAAATGTGGGAAGCAAAGACTATTAGAATTCTACTACTGCAACTTCAAAAGTGTCTGAAGTATGAGAGAAAGCGTTGTCAGTAAGGGAAAGAGTGACAGGGAAAGCATCATCCTGTCATCAGGAGTGAGCCAGGTTTCATTGATTGTCAGGAGATGGAAGGAATGAGAAAGGAAGAGGTTTAAGGTGAAAGAAATTTGTTAGAGATCAGGGCATTATGGAATAGATGGGCAGATCTAGAAGGAGACATGGTAGGGGAGAGGGAGAGTTGAGGGAAATGAGAGTAAGAAAGCAAGTAATTAGAGATGGGGGATGGGATTCAGAGTCACTGGCATGGAGAGAGTACAAGGGAAGGGAGTTAGGCTAGCCATTACAGAATGAGTCCAGGAAGAGTATTAGTGGTTGGATCAGGTAAGGAGATGATTAGACTTTTCAGGGTTCTCCTTCATCTTGTGAGGTCCCAGGAACCTAGCTTTGTAGCAAGTAGGAGCAGGTGAAGGTATGGCGTGGAAATCCAGGGGCCTACTCAGGAAGCAACATGGAGAGATGGGCATGGTACTGGGTACTGGGGGCCTAATAAAAACTGGAATGTGGTGGTGTCTTATCTCTGGAGCCTAGGGTATGCTGGGTCCTGGAGAAGGGCTCATTGACACAGTGGGGAGGGCTTTGGGAGATGGGGAGTGTCTGGAGAATGTCCTAGGGGACAACAGAAGGAAAAGTTGGTATCTTGTTGGGAATCAGTTATTCCATATTTGCCTTCCACTTTCTCAGAAACTGTCATTCTTCAAGTTCTTCACTTGGAATATGTTTCCTGGCACTAGGACACATAGCAGGTGCTAAATAAATGGCTTTTTAATAGAACTATCCATCAAGCTGATCAACTAGCTATATGCACCATATCTATTTGAACCTTCCTTGACAGCCATGTACTTACTTTTACACACCACACACAGAGACTTTTGGGGTTTTTTGGCCACTGTACTTTTGTTCACATTTTAACTCTTGCATAGACTATGTTTCCTCCTTTGTGCCTATTTGAATCCTATGCCCTATCTTAATTCCTTTGTAGTACTTCACCTGATTACTCCAACCCAGGGCACTTTCTCTGAATTTTTTTTCAATACTCGTCTGTATCTAACCATTTGGCAATGTTCATTTATCTTGTCTTGTTATTTTTGTGAATAAGGATTCTGTAATGGACTTTATGTTTTATTAAAATCTGTTTTCTCCAAAGCTAGAATTAAATTGTATCTGATAGTGACATCAAGTAGGTCTCTCCGTCATGCACTTTTGGGGGAAAAGTTAATATGCTGTTTTCTTTAATTCATATTACAATTAACATTTTGAAGAATATTTTGTAAGCTGTTACTTGGACTTGGACAAGTTCTCAGCTACTTTTGCAGGTGGTCAGGTCAATATGTTGATTAGGACAGTTTTTTATACGTAAAACCCTCTATCCCATTTTTATTAAATGATCATTATGTTTCATATTAATTGCTTAGGGGTTACCAAAGTGGGGAAATCTGAATATAAGATTCTCAACTGCTGTTTGTTTTTTTCCAAAGATTTCAATGGAGAATGATTATCTGGGGCCCCGTAGAATTGAAAGTCTCCAAAAAGAAGATGCCGATTGGCAACGCAAAGCCCACATGGCTGTGTTGTCTATTCAAGATCTCACTGTCAAGTATTTTGAAATAACAGCTAAGGCTCAGAAAGGTAAGTTGCAGAGTAAAGTTGTGCTTAAATTATTTTTAAACAAATATTTTTCTGTTTCATAGTACTTACATATAAAGTTCTGTAAATCTACACAGTGCTTTGAGGCTTATTACTCCTATGATAATCTTGTTACTTGGAATTCAAACACCTAACCCTGAATAGAACTATATGAATTTGAGGTTGTTTGAAGTAAAGGAATTATTATTAGTACTTTTAAAAAATATCATATCTTTTTCCTTGTACCACCTGTGCTTGAATTTTGTTTCAGGTCACCAGTCATTTATTAACAATTGTTAATGTAAAAGACGGTATATGAAAGACCAGTGATTTAAAGACAAAATTAAATTGTCCTGTCCTCAAGAAATGTTACATTTTTTGGGAGAAGGATGTACCAGGTATACAGATATGTCAAAACAAGGTAGGGAAAGAGAAGGAGGTGAACAGGAGAGAAGACAATAACTCAAGCAAGCAGGTCGTAGCCTTTTTTGTATTATAGACTTTTTTGGCAATCTGGTAGAGTAGGGAAAGTCTCTGGACCCCTTTTTAAATGCATGAAATACATAGCACTATAAAGGAAAATCATTTATTGAAACAATGATCAAATTAATCAGACAAGTTCCCAGACTCCAGATTAAGAAACGTTGTTTTAGAGATGCTTGAGAAAACAAAACAACACATTAATTTTGTGTAGGAGAATGGAGATGTAGAGGAGAGCTGTGCAGAGACGGTTTTATGGAACAAAAGTGGCACCTAAACTGAGCCTTTAAGGGAGATTAGGTATTTGAGAGATTTAGATGAGGAGGGAATGCACTCACTGTATTGGAGGTGTTATCTATTTATTCAGGTATACAAAGTGGGAGATGATGTGTTGATCAAGAAACAGCTTTTAGTCCAGGTGGTCTGGAATCACCAAGTCAAAAGCATTTATTAAGTGCCTACTTGTGTCAGGCATTGGGGATACAAAGACAAAATATGCAACCATTCCTGTTCTCAAGTAGCTCACGTTCTATTGGGGGACTGTATGGAGGCGAAGAATATGAAATATGGCCAGAAAGTTCAGATTAATCCAGATAGATTGTGGAGTGCTTTGTGATTTAGCCTAAAGAATTTGTATTTCACTCTTGAGGTAACAGTCACTGAGGATTTTCAGTCAGTGGAGTGACACAGTCAAGACCTATGCTTCAGGAAATCTTTTATAGAATTTATTCAGTATATTTACTTAAATCTTTCATTGCTATAGAAGCAAATTTCAGTGGTAATTTATTTTAAAACTTCCTTGGATGAAGTATACAGTCTAGAGAAAATGTCTGTTTCTGTTTTCAAAAAAGTACTATTCACTTCAATAAACATTTCTAAAGCACCAACCATATACAAGACACTGAGTTAGCATTGAGAGTTAGAGCATTTTACCCTTTACTTAGCAGTACTTTCCTTATTTTTATCTAGGGCACATTTTCTTTCCTTCTTTTTTTTTTTTTTAACAGGCAGTTGGGGTTAAGTGACTTGCCCAGAGTCACACAGCTAGTGAGTATTCTGTGTGAGACCAGATTTGAACTCAGGTCCTCCTGACTGCAGGACCGGTGCTTTATCCACTGCACCACTTAGCTGCCACCCAGGCTGCATTTTCTAGAGCAAAGACCAAACTTTTATTTTAACTAGCAGGACTCCTACATATGTGAGGAAAATTATATTATAATATATATTGTTATTTCATGACTTAAGTTTTATAACTTCAGCTATTAAGAGGATGTTTTTCCCTCTTAGATTCTTTTCCTGAAATGTGGATATGATGGCAACAAGTAGCAATATTTTCTTGTCTTGTGGTTGAGCTAGTAGTTTTTGTTACATGAAATGGAGACCTGCAACTATTAATTTTCCTTATTACTCATAAACTTTTAAAATTTAACTTATTACTTCATATAGGGAGCTCCTAGTGAGCAGCTTTTCTGCTAATATAAACTGACACCTTCTTTGCAAATTATTTGGTACTAAGTATTGTCTGGAATGCTAAGAATTTAAGTGAATTGCTCCAAGTCACACAAAGCAGTATGTGTCAGAAACAGGACACGATTCTAGGTCTTCGTGACTCAGAGACTGCTTCTATCTGCTATGCCATGATGCCTCCTCTTATTAAAATGTAAACTCATGAAATACCTAAATATTCAATAGGAAACTTCTTTTAAAACCCACTATGTTTAAAGAAATTTTCGAGTGATTGAAGTTTTTTTAATTGTTGCTGGAGGTGTGAATTAAAGCATTCTGGATATCAGTTTGGAATTATGCAAGACAAATTACTAAACTTGTTACACTCCCTGGCCAAGTGACACTATCATATTGAGCATATTCTTCAGGAAGGTAAAAAAACAAAGATCTAGTTTGTACCAAAATATTGATAGCGCTTGGGTGATAGAAAAGAACTGAATCCTGCTGGGTCCTCATCACTTGGGAATATCTGACTGAACTTGGTTGTCTGATTATAGTAGAGTATCAATTATTGTATAGCAAGAAATATGTGACAAAAAAAATAAGAATTAAGAAAACCAGGGAAGATGTGAGAATTGATGCATAGTTTACAAAGTTATTTCTTCTCAGCAACCCTTGAGAACAGGTAGTACAACTGTTATCCTGTTTTACAGATGAAGACACTGAAATACAGAAAGCTTAAGTGACTTCCCCAGGGTCACATAATTAGCAAAAGTTGGTAGCCAGTACTTGAACATAGGGATTTTAAATTTGAGTACAGGACTCTCCACTGTACTGTACTGTGACTCTAGACATATACCTCAGGTAGAGTTACACCTAAATATTGTGTCTTTGTTTTCCTCATCCCACCCAGAGAGCCATCTTAAATATCAAGGAGTTTTTTTTTAAAAGGAAAAGAAAAATCTATACATTGAAAAAATCCGACAAAATATGCAATATTTCCACATTTATGGAGTCCCCATCTTTAAAAAGGAACAAGTGGAAATGTTTTATTTTATCTTTGTTGGGGCAATGCTTGTTTTGTGATTGTTCTTTCCTTGTACGTTGCCACAGTGTTGTGTATTTTTTTTGTCTCTTGCTTACTTCACTTTGTATCACTTTATATAAATCTTTCTGTGCTTCCTCTATATTCATTGTTTCTTATATAGCACAATAATATTCCAAAACACGTTTTATGTTATATTCATTAGAATGACCAGTGGTACCAGAAATGTATGTTGTGTCATAGTTTTAGTCTGTAGCGGGAGGCATGTGAGAAATTTCAAGGAAGGAATTGGTTGTTTGGGTTTTTTGTTTATTTGTTTGTTTGTTTTTGAGTGAGGGAAAGCCTTTATTGCACTTTTGCGGATAGAAGCAGGCACAGTGCACTTTAGTAGCACGTGGGCACTGGTTCAGTGGTAGAATCAACTTTTAAACCATTAGTAAGATCCATACTCCACCCATCAGGGCTACTGTTGGTCTGATTCATCTGAGTTACACCCTTCCTAGACAGCCCGTCGCATGTTCGTCCATGTTCTTCCTTGTGGTGTTAGGTCATGCGTCACATGATCAAAAATAGCGGCTATCTCCGCCCTTGGGGTGTGTCAGTTAATATTCAATAAGCTTATTAAGCAAGCGTAGTGGAGAAGAGCCTTTGCCCTGTGGAGGCTCTGTCCTTGAACCCAGCAGGTTGCAACCGGTTTAGCCTCTAAGGCTTTTTCTTTCTTTTTTTTTTTAAATTTTATTAATTTATTTTGATTTATCAACAATCACTTCCATATGCTTTTGAGTTGAAAATTTTTCTCCCCCTTCCTCCCCCCCACCCTCCCCAAGACAGCACACAATCTGATACAGGCTTTACATTTGTATTACTATTAAACATATTTTCACATTAGTGAAGTTGTAAGTAAAAATTAAAACCAATAGGAGGAACCATCAGAAAGGTGAAACAAAACTCAACAGAAGGTAAAAGTAAGTGATAGCGATTCGATTTCCATAGTTCTTGCTTTGGATGTGGATAGCATTTTCCATCCTGAGGCCTCTGGAGATGTCTTAGCTCCTTGTAATTCTGAGAAGGGTTCAGTTTAACAATATTAGTCATTGCATAACATTTCTGTTATTGTCCTCTTGGTTCTGCTTACTTCACTCAGCATCAGACCATATAAGTCTTTCCAGGTTTTTCTGAAGTCAGCCTGTTCATCATTTCTTATAGCACAATAGTGTTCCATTACATTCATATACCACAACTTGCTCAGCCATTCCCCAATTGATGGGCATCCTCTCAATTTCCAATTCTTTGCCACCACAAAAAAAGCTGCTATGAATATTTTTGTATGTGTGGGTTCTTTTCCCATTTGTTTGATCCCTTTGGGATATAGCCCTAGAAGTGCTATTGCTGGATGAAAGGGTATGCACATTTTTGTAGCCCTTTGGGCATAGTTCCAAATTGTTCTCCAGAATGGTTGGATCATTTCACAGTTCCACCAACAGTGTATTAGTGTTCTGATTTTCCCACATCTTCTCCAACATGTATCATTTTCCTGTTTTGTCATATTGGCCAATCTGCTAGGTGTGATGTGGTACCTCAGAGTTGTTTTGATTTGCATTTCTCTAATCAATAACGATTTAGAGCATTTTTTCATATGACTATGGATGGCTTTAATTTCTTCATCTGAGAACTGTCTGTTCATATCCTTTGACCATTTATCAATTGGGGAATGGCTTGTGTTTTTGTAAATTTGTCTTAATTCTCTATATACTTTAGAAATGAGGCCTTTATCAGAGAGACTAGTTCTAAAAATTTTTTCCCAATTTTCTACCTTCCTTCTAATCTTAGTTGCATTAGCTTTGTGCAAAAACTTTTCAATTTAATGTAATCAAAATTATCCATTTTGCTTTTCATAATGTTCTCTATCTCCTGTTTGGTCATGAGTTCTTCTGTTCTCCATAGATCTGATAGGTAAACTATTCCTTGTTGTCCCAGTTTACTTATCGTATCAGCCTTTATATCTAAGTCATGAACGCATTTTGACTTTATTTTGGTATATGGTGTGAGATTTGGGTCTATGCCTAGTTTCTGCCATACTCTTTTCCAGTTTTCCCAGCAGTTTTTTTCAAAGAGTGGGTTCTTATCCCAGAAGCTGGGGTCTTCGGGTTTATCAAATAATAAATTACTATAGTCATTGACTACTGTGTCTTGCATATTTAACCTATTCCACTGATCCACTTCCCTATTTCTTAGCCAGTACCAAGCAGTTTTGGTGATTGCTGCTTTATAATACAATTTAAGATCTGGAATTGCTAGGCCACCTTCCCCTACATTTCTTTTCATTAGTTTCTTTGATATTCTGGACCTTTTGTTTTTCCAAATGAATCTTGTTATTCTTTTTTCTAACTCTATATAAAATAATTTTTTGGTAGTTTGATTGGTGTGGCACTGAATAAGTAAATTAACTTAGGATTGTCATTTTTATTATATTAGCTTGGCCTACCCATGAGCAACTGATGTTTTTCCAGTTATTTAGATCTGATTTTATTTGTGTGAAAAGTGTTTTGTAATTGTGTTCATAGAGTTCCTGGGTTTGTTTTGGTAGGTAGACTCCTAAATATTTTATAATGTCTGCAGTAAGTTTAAATGGGATTTCTCTTTCTATCTCTTGCTATATTGGGCTTTGTTGGTAATATATAGAAATGCTGATGATTTATGTGCGTTTATTTTATAGCCTGCAACTTTGCTAAAGTTGTTTATTATTTCAAGTAGTTTTTTACTTGATTCTCTAGGAATCTCTAAGTATATCATCATGTCATCTGCAAAGAGTGATAGCTTTGTTTCTTCTTTGCCTATTCTAATGTCTAAGATTTTTTCTTAAGGAACTAGTTTACAGAAAGTTTTGGAGCATTTTCTGATTGATTGAGGGACTCTCCACAAGATCTTGGAATTTCTTGTCCTGTTGTGGAAGCCTAACCCCCTAAAATCTTTCTTACAATTCCCCCTTTTCTTTTCTAGTAAAGATTTGGCTTCCACACATTCCCAATTTCCTTATTCTCTAATCTCTTTAACATGATTTCGCATTGTCTGTCACTGGGGAAAGTCTCATTGGTACTTTCAATCATCATCCTTATATTGCCAGAGCCTGTCTTCTGATCTTCCACCTTGGGTTCTACTGGGATAATCTTAGTGAGGGACATCTCTGTCAATCATTGTACCAGTCCCCTATGCATGGAACTATACAACATCCTACAGCATTTGAGCCACAATTAGGTTAGTGATAATGGATACAGCCATTCCTTTTCCATTTGCCAAACCAGGATTCTAATCATCCCTTTAATTAATTATCTATCCCAGAGTTCTCTGCCAACTCGTCAGCTAAAGTAGGTAAACCTTGCAGTGCTTCAGTGATGGTTCTATCTGGGGCTGTGCTTCTGGGCAACATTTCATCAAGGGATTTTGGGAACTTAAAACAATATGGGAGAAGGAAGGGAGAAATTGACTGACGCATTGACAAATTAAAAAGGGGGCAGTCCCCTTATTAAGTACAGATATAGAGACCCAAAAGTAATGATAAATTGTCCATTTAAAGCTTCAGAAGTCCCTTCTCGTACAGCTGTCTGATACTCTGGACATCATCTGGTGAAGTTTTCTTGTCTAAGTGCCATTCAAACAGTGTCCAGCAGACTCTCCTTTTCTAGAGATCCTCCTTCTTGTGTCCATTCTCCTACAAGATTGATCTCAACACAATTAAATTACCTTGCCAATAACCAGGGCAAATAATGAAAGTTAACTCAACCCCCATGTCTCCACCATTACAAGATTAAAATTGGAACCTTAACCAATTGTCATATTTTAGGAAACTCAAATTAGAAAAATCAGAACCTAGCCTTATACTCTGCATTACTTCCAGTTTTATATCTTGCATTAATTCATTATTCATTCCTATTCCTATTCCTATTCCTCCATCAGGAGCATGAGATTCCACTAAGGAATTAATAACACACTCCAATACATAGTAGTGAACTTAAAACCAGTACATATCAAATGATAAAACAATCCCAATTTCTAGTCATGTACAAATAAATAATCCTTAATGAAAATGGATGCTTCTTTTAAGGCATTTACAAGATAAGTCACAAACTATTTTTCTTTTAACATTAATTAATTGTAACAAACTGAGACAACTTTAACATTAATTTAAGTATTAACTAAGTAACAGAGTAATATCCTAGTTCTACAATCTCCTGGGCTAATTATCCTCATAATGATGGGATATGAGCCCAAGCTGAGACCTTCACCTCTTGCCCCAAAAAGAATCTGGATCCCATTTGTCTATGGGCCCCAGAAAACCCTTATACTTCACTCAACTGGCCTATATGGTTTATCTCCAACAAACTTCCCCTCTGGCTGAAAGAAGGCCTGGGCTGAACTCTGCAGGCAGGGCCCTCGTGTCTTTACCTTGGGGTCCCAACACCTCCAAACCTCCAGACCTCATCACAACCACTATGAGAAATTAAAGGATCCTGGCTTATACAGGAATATACTAGTAACATGTCAAGACTGAATACTTAATTCTGAAATTCTAGGCCAAATAACTCAATCTTATACTTGCATCTTGCTATAATAACCTCAGATCAGTATTTATGCTTAGAAAACTTACTATTATGGGAATTTGCCATGAAAGAATAAGGACATAACTGAAGTAAGTGAACAGTGCTTCCCTAGATTCATGTCAATTCCAGGCAGAAGTTATGTGATGACCAACTGCATTGAGACAGGCTTAAAGTCTGCCAGGTGTCATAGTGGGGAAATTGAGTCAGGAGACTCCTACCTCAGCCATGCAGAAAAGTCGTTCTTCCGACCTTCCCATGAGAACACCCTCTTGCAGCTCATAGATGGAGCTCACAAACCTCTTTGCATGTTGCTGACATCATGGGTCAGTAGCTCAATCAGCTCTCAAGGAAAGAATTGTAATGAGCTATGTGGCCTTTTGAATAAATAAAAGGAAAACCATGTATCAGTGGGCAGCTACTTTGTTTCTAAATCTATGCTGATAAAAAGTGTTATTAAAAATATTTTGATATACATGGGGCCTTTATGTCAGTGACCCTCTTAGTCAAAGGGCATGGACATTTTAATCACTTTATTTGCATAATTCCAAATTGCTTTCTAGAATTATTGTACTGATTCCATAGCTCCACCAACAGTGCATTGGCGTGCTTATCTTTCCATACCTCTCTGACATTAATTGTTCTCATCTTTTGTCATCTTTGTCAACATTCGAGGTATGAGGTAAAACCATGGGATTGTTTGAGTTTTTTAAATTACTCTTATTAGTGATTTAGATTGTTCTTTCCTGTGATTGTTAAGTTCTTGTGGAAACTGTTTATATCCTTTAACCATTTATGTGTTGGGGAATAGCTTTTGGTCTTATATTTATGTTAGTTGTCCATATGCCTTGGAATACCATACCCTTATTAGTGATATTTGATAGATTTTTTTTTCTCAGTTCACCACTTCTCTTACTATTCTTGATGCATTAATTTTATTGATATGTAAACTTTTTAATTTCACATACCTTACATAATTGCCTCTATTTCTTGTTTGTTTAAGAATGCATTTGTTACCCAAAAAAATGGCAAATGTTAGAGGGAGTTCATTAAAATAGGCACATTAAATGTTGTTGAAGCTGATGGGCCATAAACTGTTTATTTTCATTTATTTATTCTTGAATAGAGTTGTGCCTGAGGAATAATAACCTGTAATCTTTATTTTTGATGGAAATATTAAGGAAAAATCCTGTTGTGACCTTTGAGTTTTTTTAAGTCACCCTAATAACTATTGAAATATTTGATATTTATATCTCATATAAGCTTCTGTCTCTTAAATATCAATTTACACATTCATATTCTTTCTTTGAAGTAGGTTGTCAGTGGTATCTAAAAGACATTGTCAGAATTCTATAATAGCAGGATACATATTAAATCTTTGTTATAATTTGTCTTTCTACAGCTGTGTATGATAGAATGCGAGCAGATCAGAAAAAATTTGGTAAAGCATCATGGGCAGCAGCAGCTGAAAGGATGGAAAAACTTCAATATGCAGTTTCAAAGGAAACTCTACAGATGATGAGAGCTAAAGAAATCTGTTTGGAACAGAAGAAACATGCATTAAAAGAAGAGGTAACATTGTATTAAAATGATGAAACATTTCCAGTTGGAAAAATGGGAAAAAATTAAACTTAAATTTTTTGGTATTATTCTGTGTCTGTTTCCTTGCATAAAAAACTGGTCTTTTTTGATCATATATAATTATAGAATCCCAGAGCTGGAAAGTACCTTAAGAAGCCACCTAGACCAACCTGTGCCTGAATGAGTTTCCTTCCTACAGAGACATTTTAATTCCCCCTTTGGATAGCTCTAATTATTAGGATTCTCTTCCTTCTCTTTATTAAGCCTAAATCAGCTTCTCTGCATTTTCCACATTGTTGCCCTTTTCTGTACTCTAGCCAAGCAAAACCATTCTAATCCCTTTTCCACGCTGAAGCATTTCAAATACTTGAAGAAAACTTACCATTTTCACATTGGCTCTTCCTCTGAGTCTTCTTATCCAGGCTAAACAAACTCAGATTCTTTAACTGATTATTTTTAAAATAAATTTTATTAGTATCTTCTGTGTTTACATCACCTATATTTCTCAATTTAGTCCTCCTTCCTTTCATCCCAGAGAGCCATCCCTTATAGCAATGAATTGAAGAAAAGGAAAAAATGCATAGTCCCTCACCTACAGAAACAGAGTAGGAAGTACCTTCCCATATCTCTTCATTTGGGCCAAGATGGATACCATTTAGTTTCATTTATTAAGTTGGTTTTTTTCTGTTTACATTGTAGTCATTGTATGCAGTATTTTCCTGGGTCCTACTTACTTTTGCCCTTCAGAGACTAGGATTCAGAAACTTTCAGAGATTTGTTGCTTATAATCATTATTATATGACTTCCCAAGAATAGTAATGTTAAAAAGATGGCCTTTGTTTCAGGGAGAAGCTTGAATGTTTTAAAAAATCTTTATGCAGCCTCCCAAAGGCAATCCAGCCCACTCGCTTCTTGTTTTATTCTAGATGTAATTCATTGCCTGTTTGAGACATCTGTTTAAGAAACCTGTACTGAGGACCAACTCTGTAGGTTGTCCATTTAACTGTATGTCATAGTCTGGATAAAAATGTTTTTAATCTGCTAAGTTTTCCTTTTATGATAGTGAGTCCTTACCCTTTTGAATAACTATAGATACATTTGGTAGGCTTAGCAGTGGTCCAGATCTTGGGAACAGTTGGAACAATGATATCTATGAATAGGAGCACCTGGAAGACCTCAACATTTATTGTAAATCCCTCTTCAGTTTTTTACTATATTCTGAGCATCCTCTGTGAGAGTGGTAAACGTACTTTTCTCTAGTTTATATACTTCACTTGATCTTGAAAAAGTTGACATTGACCCATTAGCGACTACTCTTTTTGGGTAGTCAGCTGTGAGTTACAGACACAGATAAATAATCAGTTAAAGTGATTTTACTCATGAGAGGAGAAAAATTAATTATTGAGCCCATCCCATATGAGTGTTGTGCCAATAAAGACTTTGTAATATTACCCTTTAATTAAATTTTTAAAAGACTACATAAATGCTAGGGAATATGTTAATTCAAAGGTACTCTCTTGTTGAGTAAAAATACTTAGCTCCTCTGACATGACAAAATTGAAAACTTGAAAACAAAACAAAGGCCTCAAATATTTATAATAAAAGCAGTGCTAGACTTGAGGCAGTTTTTTAAAATTTAAAAACTGAGCTCACCAAGATTCTATTTCACTGTCTAAATTTCTGTTATCCACATTTACCAGTGCTACTTCTTTTTCTTCCTGTTCCCTTTCATGTATACTGAATTCCCCCACAGGTTCCAGAGAACTAAATTTAAGAGAATAGAAACAGCAGCAGGACATAGTAAATACCTTCCAGGATCAATGTTTTGGAAAGGAATCAGGATGAATCTGAACTTTGGGAGTGGCTGCTTAATTCTGTTTTTTCAATAGCATCCTACAATCTAATCCAACAACCATTTATTAAGTAGATACTATGAATAAGCCACTGTACCAGCCACTGGCAATATGACAACAAGAAAAAGAAATCTTTATCCTCAAGGAGGTTTGAATCTACATTCTTCATATATGTACAGCATGTTTGTGTTCATATATATGTGAAAGTATGTACATGTATGCTGTAATTACTGATTATAGAAGTAAGTTCATCATCTTAGATCTCTTTAATTATTACTCTTATTTTTTATTATTTATCTTTTATTACTCTTATTTTTCAGGTGGGATAAAATAATAGAGGGTTGACTTGTTTTTTTTGTAAACCACTTAACACCACTGAAATTTTAGAAATTATAGAGCGTACGCAGAATATGTTTAAAAATAATTTCTGTTATTGAAATAAAGGAAGTTCTCTTTGCCATCGTCAAAGAAAAAGTAGCAAATTTAGGACAAATAAAAGGAAAGACATTTTGTTGGAGGACATCTTTTAATGCAGTGGTTTGTGTTATATCTAGTTAAATGCTTTTTTGGGGTGGGAAAGTATTTGTTGCTAACAAATAATAAATGCAGTGAGATTTTATATTCTCTGCACCTTTCTCATAGTTCACTTCTATTGTGCTTTGTAACATTGTGAAACCTAATAGTTCCTTTTGAATTATCATTCATATTGTAGTTCCTTTGTGCATAGATCATTCATACAAATATTATATAGAGATGAAAAAGTAGACGTGTGGGTGTATAATTGTTGATATCTTCTTGGTTATCCTACCCTGAGAGGGAGGTACAGAGAGGGGTCGTTGAGAAGAGGGGAGGGTTTGAGGGGGAAAATGAGTTCAGTTTTGGCCATGTTGAGTGTAAGATGTCTACGAAACCTAAAGTTCGTGATGTCCATAGGCATTTAGAGATGTAAGACTGGAGGTCAGCAGAGAGGTTAGAGCTAGATAAGGAGACGATTCCCTTTTACTATTGAGGGTATCCAGTTCCCCCAGGCTTGCAATCTAGGTGTCATCCTTGACTCCTCATTCTCTCTTAAGCCTACCCCTTGTTCCCTATCCATCTGTTGCTAAGGCCTGTCAATTTTATCTTCATAACATTTTTTACACATGTCCCCTTTTCTCTTCTGACATTGCCACCACCCAGATACAGGTCCTCATCATCTCACACCTGGACGATTGCATAGCTTCAAGGTTCTTCCAACTCAAGTCTATCCCTCACTCAGCTCTTAAAGTGATCTTCCTAAAGTCCAGACCTGACCATTTCACCCTCCTACTTAGTAAAACCCAGTGGTTCCCTGTCACCCCAGTGATCAAATATAAAATATGTTTAAAGCTATTCATAACCTGAAACCTAAAACATCCTCCCCCTTTCCAGTTTTCTTACCCCTTAACAACCTATCCCTCTTCTGCTCTCCTCTTCCCCACCTCTCCACAACCCTGCTGTGTACTCTGCAATCCAGTAACAGTGGCTCCTATACTCCCAGCTTTTTCACTGCCTGTCCCCCATGCCTGGAATGCTTACTCTCCTCATCTCTGCCTTCTAGATTCCCTTAAGTCCCAGCTAAAACTCCCACCTTCTATAAAAAGCTTCTGTTGATTATTTCCAATTTATCCTGCATATAGCTTTTCTTATACATAATTATTTGCATGTTGTATCTCTCTCTCATTGGAGTTGACAGCTCCTTGAGAGCAGAGATGGTCTTTTGCCTTCCTTTATATCTCTAGTGTTTAGCACAGTGCCTGGTTCTTAATAAACGTTTACTGATTGACTAACCTTCATTGGTTTTTCCATTACTCAAACTTCAACTTCCTTGTAGTGATCTCTTCATTTACGTTGTTGTAGTCATCGTACATACTCCTCTCCTGATTCTGCTTATTTCACTCTGCATCTGTTCAGATTTTGCCAAATTCTTCACACTTGTCACTTATTACTACAAAATATATTTATATACATTCATTTTTTCAGATATTCCCCAATTGATGGGCCCTCACTTTGCTTCTAGTGCTTTGCCACCACAAAGAGTACTGCTCTTAATATTTTGCTTTTTGTCTTTGATTTGCTGAGTATGTGCCCAGTTGTAGAATTTCTGGATCAAAGAGTATGGGCAGTTTAGTCTTTTTTCCTTATGACTAAACATTTATTTTCTTTCCTTTCCACTCCTTTTCCCATTGAAAAGGAAGAAAAACAAAATCCTTTGAACAAATAAGCAAAATACATGCCCACATTTGTCATATCCAAAACTCGATATTCATTTTGCCTCTTGAATCCATCATCTCTCTGTCAGGGTATGGGTAGTATGTATGCATCATCAGCCATCTTATATTTTACAGTGTTGTTATCGTATAAATTGTTCTTGTTCTGCTCACCTTACTCTATATCAATTCATGCAAGTCTTCCCAGTTTCTTTGAACCCTGTCCTTTTTTTTTGTCACTGATGAAATTTTTGAGCATTGTCCCCTAAATTCATTTTCCCCATAAACTTTGTGGTTTTTTTTATTGTTCAATTTTGCATTGTGTGATGCTTTTTGGGAACACATATGTTGCATTGTAGCAGAACTGACTGTACTATACTTTGTTCTGCTGTTCCCAAATTGATGAACACCCCCATAGTTTCCAGTTCTTTGCCACTACAAGAGAAGCTATGCATTTTTGTACATATGGTTCCTTTCTCCTTTCTTTGATCTCTTTGGGGTATAAGTCTAGTCTTGGGAATTGCTGAGTCAACGGGTATATATAGTATGGTGATTTGGGGTATAGTTCCAGATTGCTTTCCAGAGAAGTTGGACCAATTCAGAGCTCTGCTAACAGAGTATTAATGGGTCTGTTTCCCCACAATCTCTCCAACATTTGACATTTTCCTTTTTTGCAACTTTGCTAGTCTGGTGACTGTGAAGTGAACTCCTTTAATTTGCCATTTCCCTAATTATTAATGATTTGGAACATTTTTCTTATGGCTGTTGATGTCTTGAGTTTCTTTATTTGAAAATTGTTGCTTTGTATTGTATCCTTTGACCATTTATCAATTAGAGAATACCTGTTATTCAGTAAGCTCCTTGTGTATGTTGGAAATGAGATCTCTATCAAAGAAACTTGCTGCAAAGATTTCCCCCCAGTTAATTATTTCCCTTCTAATTTTAGCTGCATTTGTTTTGTTTGTGCCAAAACTTTGTATAATCGGTCCAAATTGATATTGAGGACAGTTGGATCACTTGACTGCTCCACCAACAGTGCCTTAGTGTGCCTGTCTTTCCACAGCCTCTCCAATATTCACTGTTCCCATCTTTGCTCTTCATCTTTTTCAGTTTGCTTGGTGTTATGAGGAAAGCTCAGATTTGTTTTAAATTTCTTTTACTCTTAGTGATTGGAGTATGTTTTCATGTAGTCATTTATAGTTTTCGGTTTTTATTAAAACTGTTGAAATCCCTCGGCCATTTTATCTGTTGGTGTCAAGGCACTACCATTCTCCCAGTCACATAGGGTTAAAGGTGTCATCTTCAACTCCTCACTCTCACCCCACATATCTGGTCTGTTGCCAAGACTTGTCCCTTCACAACATCTCCCATGGATATCCTCTTTGCTACATTCAGTAGCCATCACCCTGGTGCAAGCCCTGATCATCACACACTTGAACTGTTGCAATAGTCTTCCATCATAACCAATTGGTCTTCCTGTGTCAGATGTCTCCCCACTCATGTGCCAAAACTATCTTCTTAAAGAGCAGACCTGACTAGGTCACTCTTCTGTTTAATAAATTCCACAATCCTCTCTTTGACTTTTAAAGCCTTTCACAACCTGGCCCCTTCCAGTCCTGTTAACCCTACCTTAAAATTTATTCTCCTCTATGTATCTAAGACCATTGGCCTTCTTGCTGTTCCTCACATTCTATCTCTTGAGTCTATACCTTTTCACTGGCTGTCTCCCATACCTGTAATCCTCTCTTTTTGTGTGTACATCTTTCAAGATTCAACTCAAATCCAACTTTCTACAAGAGGCTTTTCCCAATCTCTCCAAATCTAAGTTCTTCCCTCTAAGATTACCTCCTATTTACCTTGTGTATACACACACACATACACACACACACACACACACACACACACACACACACATACATATATACGTATTTATGTACATACATTGCCTTCTCCATTCACGTGTGAGCTCCTTGCTAGCTATTTTTCCTTTTCTTTGTATTAGTACTGGTGCTTAGCCCAGTTCTTGGCACATGGTTAAGCATTTAACAAGTGAATGGCTGAAACAATATTTTTTAAAATTTGATTTTAGAAGAGTCTTGGTTTATATAAAAAACTGTTAGGATATCAGTGTTAGAGCTGAGGATAAATATTTGAAGTCCACTCCTAGAACAATTGACTTCTTTGCCTTTTACTTTCTTTTACCAAATACCTTATTTGTTTTAACTTAAAGGTAATCGCGTTCCTTTTCTATATGCCATTGTCACTACTGAAATTAGATTAATATAACCTAAGCCATTTCACAAAGGAGCAATAAATATTTTTACTCTGTACATCTTAGCCTTGTTAGAAATAACTTTAATTTCTGTTTTTCCCCATTCATAAAACTTTTGTTCCACTTAACATCAACTTAATACATATGTTCTTCACAGTTATACTTAGATTACTCATGAAAATTTCGTAAGACATTAAACAAAACTAACCATCGTATCAAGTTATTTCCCTGTTTACTGTTTTCTTGTCACATGCTTGTTTGGCAAGTAGAAAAAAAATTACAGAAGAAAAAAACATAACGTTAAGTTAAATACCTGAGGTTTTTTGGTTTACTGCTGTGCTTTTTATACAGTTGACTTTATGAATATCAAGCAGTTCGTTTTTACTGCATCTTTACTTATTTGTTCTTTGGTTAGCTAAACCATTTAAATACAAATAAAATGAGGAGTAAAATATGCAAAAATAATGAAGGCAAACAGCAGGTAACTTTACAAATAATGGAATGGAAACTATTTCTGCCCATCTCCAGAGTAAATTTACTGGTTTAACCAAACTTTGTCTTAAGGAACACTTGCAACTGCAGTCATAAAGGTGAACATGTTTAGTTTGTGTATTCCAAAGATACACATGGTAAGAGGTGTAATATGGGACATTGATTTCTACCACAACTATGAGTGTTCCAACCCTAAAGTACCTACAAGAATTAAACCTGTGGCTGGAACTATTTATCCCCTCCCTCTCCTCCAATTGCAGGCCAATCTGTAGGCAGTTTTCTTTGTTTAGACAGAGAACTTGTTTTAAACACTAGTGTTGTGAAATCACAGCATACCAAAAGTACTATGCCAAACATGTAAACCATGTATTAAAATTTCATATCTCCATGTCGGCCACCTTGGATGAAAATGTTATAGTAACATAACAGAATGTTAACTGGTTCTACTCTCCTAATATTAAACATAAAAACCACATTGGAGATATTATATATCCAAATAGAAGTAACAATAATAAATCATAAACAAAAACTATGTGGGACAGCATGGATGACAAAAATGGTCTACTGCGTAAATTTAGAATGAGACTGACAAAAATTAGAAGGCTGGTGAATTCTCCCTCCTCCTCCTGCTTCATCTTCATCTTCTTGGGTGTCTACTGTCCACAATGTCATATTGTCTCTCAATAATTGCATTATAAGTGTGCTGATTTTTGTATGATTCTTCACTTAAATGTATCAAGTTTAGCAATGGCTTCATCAAAAGCTATCTTTACAAGGGAACAGGTTTTCTCCAGAGAGCTCAGTATCTCATAATAGAATACAGAGAAGTTCAACACCCTCTCCTTTTTACTGATTTCAGATGCTTCTTGATGCTCTTGTTATGATTGATCCACTTGTCCTTTCTTGTAATCACCAGCAGCAACCTCAGCCAAATAACAGGACTAGTCTCCTTTTGTTTTCAAATAGCAAATTTTCTTTTTTCTTGTGAAGGGTTAGGAACCAAGAACTTTTCCAAGAGATAAAGGACTTCATTGCAGATATCTGTTAATTCAATTTTCTCTCTATTCTTGGGCCATCTGCTGTTTTTTCTCAGCACCTTCCGTCTTTTGCTCAGTACTTGAAACAATCTCTCCGAAATGACCACTGGGCTCCTGTGACATTTTTGTAAGCAACAAAGAGATAATTCCCCTCTTCATTGGATCATTCAATTCCTTGTTTACAGACTTCATGCAAGCTACCATGTCATCTTATTGCTCAGTCAATTTGACCTTACCTATGACTGAAATTCATTCTGTGCCTAGAGTAAAAGGTTCAGCAGTCTCTGGATAGAGACAGTAGCAGCAGTAGAGTTGACTCTCTGCCTCCCCATGTCTCTCAGTTCACAGCCCCAGCCACCAAAAACCATATAATGCTCATTAGCATCTTTTGAGATCCTTCCTGAGCTATAAGTTCTCATTTAGATGCTTTCTTTACTTTGCCATGTTAGGATGAATATCTTACTAAAACTTTATACTTTGACATGCCACAGCAATTATTATTTTTGTTTTTCTATCCAGATGCAGAGCTTACAAGGTGGTACAGAAGCCATTGCCCTTTTGGATCAGTTAGAAGCAGATTATTATGATCTGCAACTTCAGTTGTATGAAGTACAGTTTGAGATCTTGAAGTGTGAGGAGTTACTGCTAACAGCTCAACTTGAAAGCATCAAGAGACTTGTGTCAGGTACATATAGTAGACATTTTCTTCTACAAAGGTACATAGGCTGTTAAACTGTAAGGATTGGTGGGAAATTGAAATGGAAGCAACAGCTGCATTTCTGTTAAAGGACAAGAAAATTCTAACAAAAGTACTCTTTTAAAAAAGGACTTCTTCCAAAGGTTTGATGAGTAGTCTATTTGACTTTTAGTATCTTTGAATCTTTTTTTGGAAGTTTCATTTGGGTTATCAAAAATAAAATGAAGAAAAGGTTTTTTTAAAAAAATTTTGAGTCCAGTAATGTGGATTCTTTAGAAAGTATGTCCTTGATTAAATCTTTTTATTAAAGCAGGTATTCTTTAAGTAATGTGCAGCAACATTAAGCACACAAGAATATGTGTATGTAGTCTCTAGTTTTTACTGCATTTTTTATTAATTGCATTAGATTTTATCACTTGAAAAATTTGAATATTTGAAACATTTTTTAAATGTGTGGAAGAGACCAGAAGGAAGGTCACAGGAAATACAGAGAAGCAGAACAGCTTTTAAATTATCCATGAAACAACATATATGAAAAGAAAAACAAGTTGTCCATAATAGAGATTTATAGCTTCATTTATAATCATTTTCCTTTTAGTCTGTGTATGAAAATACTCATCTTATTTGGTATTTCTTAAGTTCAGATTTTTTTTTAAAGATCTTTAATATAAGAGGTTTGTACTGATAAACTTTGGAGAAATGGAAGAAGGAAATACTGAAGGTATAAGCATATGCTTAAAGTACCTTATTACAGTCCTTAAAGTTGGAATTTGGTAACTCTTAGTAAAAGTAGCAACCCCACTGGTTGCTTATTTTGTAAGAACCCATAGAAAAAGAGGCATAAGGTTCACAATCATTATGAACTATTGTTTGTTTATGAGGATGACACTACTGACCCACCATCAGTGGGGCTCAGGATTTGAATTGATTTTTCCAGTACCTTGTTCCCTTTGGGGCCATTAGCATACACTTACAAAGTGATTAGCAGGAATTAGTATAATATAAATATGACCATGCAGAGGTAATTGACCCAGTTGGGAATCAAAACTTGTAACTTTGACTGTTTTAGCACAATGTTTAAACCCAAGTCATATAAAAGTTCATAGATTTTGGGTATTTGCCCATTTTCTCTTATGCTTCTCACTTGTGTCACAGGCTTCTCTTCTGTGCTTCCAGTTCTTCTTCCACTGTCACCTTCCTCACTGAAACAATTCAGAAAGTGGTGCTTTTATGCCTTGATTACTGATGCACCAAGCCCATTCCCTTTCTAGCCAAATTAACTAAATAAGTTTCCTGAGTCCAATCTAGAAGATGTGGTTAAGCCACCTCAGACCTCTCAGATGAGAAGATAATTGTTTCTGGCCACTCAGATTCAGTAGTTAAGATTCCACTTAGAAGCCAAGAGTTAGTTGCTTTTATAGTTTTTGTTTGTTTTTGTTTCCTTTGATAGCTTTAGCTTAAAAGATAAATGGTATGGTGCTCATTAAGAGAAAAGCAATTTGTGCTTTTTATAACCTCTGACTTTTATACTACTACAACGTGGTCCAAGTGGGCTGTTGTTGAAAGCTACCAAGCAGTTTCAGCACATACAGATCTGGTTAAAGTAGTGAGCACACAACAATAATATGAGCAGCAGGTTTTCATTTTGGTTATCAGAAAATATTTATTAAACATCTTCTGCAGTACACTATACTAATCACAAGGAATTTAACACTATGTCTCCCTCAAGGGGTTTGCTATAGTGGGGAGACAAGATATAGGTGGGGAAAGTTTAAATAATTTGAGGTATATGTATGTGCTAGATATTAAATGACATTATTAGGCTTAGGTAGGTTTCCAAGGTTTTTATCAATGAATGAGGTTTAGTCCCAAGCCCACCATTTTTTATTTTCGTCTTTGAGTGGAATGAATGAATGAATAAAAAAAAAGCATTATCAGTCAATATATACCAAGTCCTGTGGAAATACAAATTCAAAAGCAAAGATAGTCTCAGCTCTCATGGAATTTACATTCCAATGGGGGAAATCACACAGGTAAGAGAAAGATAGCTGAAAAGGGTAACTTTGATTCTGGGGGAAGAGAGTATGGTACCTGGAGATAAGCTAACACACCCCTTTCTGGAGTAATTGCCAAAGCTGATTAGATCATAATTCCAGTACTGGATGGCTTGGTAAGGCTATGTGTCTAAGGCCATCTGAAATAGTGAACTAAATAAAACAATCATCAATATGGAGAGCAAAACCCAAGGACATAGTTTCTGGTGTAAGAATTTTGTCCAGTAATTAAATGATAGGATATAGAATACATGCTCATTAAGTGTTCAAATGAAACCAAGCTGAAGGAAGATGAAGGTAATTAAGGATGGACCCTTGAAAGATGAGTACAAATTCAAAAGTCAGGTTGGACTAATCAAAACTTAAATAACATTTTATTGAGGAACAAGAAATGCAGAATGACAGTGCAGTTAGGCAGAGAAAATAACACATATAAACAATCAAATAAGAGGCTATCAATTTAAAATAAGATAAACAAGGAATCATCTACATAGTATATGTCAGAAAACAGTCTCTGTATTATTGGTATGCATAAACAGAAATAGAACATAAACAAAAGCAATCCTGTTATACTCAGCACTTGTCAGACATTAGATTACTGTGTAATGATCTGAAGATGTTGGAGTAAATTCTTCAAAGAATGTTAACTTCGATTAGAAAATATGTATGCAAAACAAGGGTTCTTCATCTGGGTTCTTTGAACTTTGAAAAAAAAGGTTGATAACTGTATTTCAGTATGAATTTAAAACCATTATTTTGAAAAGGGATCTATAGGCTTCATCCTATTGTCATAGAATCCATGACACAAAGAACGTGAAGAAACCCAAGTTAGAAAGTTATGAGAATTTAGATCATTCAGCTTGAGGTTTTCAGAGTTTGAAACATATTTACGTAAGTAAGCGAAAAAAAATTAGCTTAAACTTTATTACAGAGTATGGATTATGAATTATGTAATTAGATAAAATTGTGAGTTGTGGAATTAGAGAAAAAAATTAAAAAATCTTAAGGGAATTCAGGCATACTGATTTTCTGTTAACTATTTTAACAAGTTTAGGCCTGCTTAAAACTAGAAATATGCTTAGATGACTTTGGGTCTTTTTGCACTGATTAAGAATAAAGAACAATGAGGGAAAGCCCTGGTTGAATTAATGAAGAGTCAAAACTATAGGTTCTTATAGTTTTTCTTATTTCTAAGCAAAGCCCACAAAGTAACTAATAGGACTAACCATTCATAAAATGTTACTACCTAGAGGCCTCACTGTAATGGCTAATTACATACACAGAGTGAGGAGTGTTTTAGGTGCTTGATCATCTTTACTCTTCAGAATTATGTCTTAGGTTAATTAGTTAATTTACTTAACCACATCCCTCTTTTTTCCCCCTAGCCAGAGTAAGTGTAAACCTTGACCTAACTCATGTCAAAGTTTCCACAGATGCAGAATTAATGAGGATCCAAACTAATGTGTTTTTCCCCCATTTTATTGACTTTTCGTAACAGAAAAGAGAGATGAAGTAGTATATTATGACACTTACGAAAGTATGGAGGCAATGCTTGAAAAGGAAGAGATGGCTGCATCTCTACATCTACAGAGGGAAGAGTTGCAGAAACTTCAACAGAAAGCTCGGCAATTGGAAGCAAGGCGTGGGCGCGTTTCAGCCAAGAAAGCCTACCTCAGGAACAAAAAGGTTTCATATTTAAAATTTTCCTCAAATATATAATACAGTTTTAAATTCTCCTTGCAGGCATTATTTTTTCTGTAGCCACACTGAAAATTCTAGTGGACTTGTAAGAAATTCTAAAAGATTGAATTCCTGAAGCTAGGTTGAGTACCTCTTTTTATTACTTAGCTTGAAAAGAACTGACAAATTTAGTTCTCCTTTGTAGACTCTCCACCCCCAAAGGGAAAAAAGAAAAATGACAACGATGTCGTGCTTACCAACGTCTCTGCTTAAATTTGAATCAGTTAAGTGGCATGTTCCTACTAGTCTGTCACAGAGTAGCTTAGGTATTCTTAAGAATATTCTTCTGAACTTTTTTCTTCTACCCAGCTTGGGCCTGGCTTCTCTTTTTCTTCTTCTTCTTTTCCTCCTCCTCTCCTTCCTTCCTTCCTTTCTTCCTTCCTTCCTTCTTTCCTTCCTTCTTTCTCTCTCTCTGTCTCTCTGTTTTGAGGATGCTAATCTTAATTCCATAGTCTGATTAGTGAATTCACTTAGCTTTTTAAAAGGAAATGAATTTTAATTTTATTTTGACTTTCGCTGACAATTATAAATATTAAAATTTTAACAGTTTATAAGAAAAATGATCATAAATGAGAATATATTTATACAACTTGTTATTTACCTTTTCTTAACCCTACTCCAAGAGATAACACTATAGCTTTCTTTACAGTGTTTTTAATATGTATGTTGATATTATTGTTTCTTTCTCTGTTTGTAGCTTTTGTGATCTTTAAGTTATACTGTTCTTTGCATCACTTCATGTAAGCCCTCTCACACTGGAAAATTAATTTTTATACACCTTTCATTTGTCTTCTCTTCATATTATGTTGTGTTGAAAGTACTTGAATGGAAATACTTGTGTTGAAAATTGAACTTTTTTTTTTTTGCAAAGTAAAGCTGTAGGGTTTTTTTATGCTATGTGACATCAACAGACATTTTATGGAATTTGAAACAGCCACAAGGAAAATAACTAAATATGAATGAAAACCAACACTAACACAAAATAGTATTTGTGTGTTCTTTACAAATTAGGTAAGGCCTCTTGGCTCTACCTGTAGTATTCTTTTCCAAGCACACACATCATTATAACTTTGGTTCTTCTCCTCCTGTCCTCTCTCTCCTTCCCCACTCACTTAAGAAAATGGAGAATCCCAAGCATTCTTTTCAGTGCTTCTTGACCCTGGTATCAAGTTCTCAGTAATTTGTTCTCTTTTTGCAAGCCTCAGTCACAAAAAAGCACTGCCTACTAGCACTGTGACTTTATTCAAAAAGTAGGTGTCCTAGCATTTTTCATTCCATGCTATTTCAAAGACCCATAGGATTTTCACTCTTCTTGGTTCAAAAAAAAAATCCCATTATTGTATCCTCTGTAAGTAGGTATGAGTGCCATCTAGCTTATAAATATGCAAGTAAATATTGTTAGAATTTGGAAATGGCTTTCACATTATACATGGAGGAAATGATTTGGGAAGGAAATGTTTTAAATGCTTTTGATGGGAATGATGTTTAAGCTACCTAAGACTGATTCCAAGTGTTGTAAAAGCACCAATTTGCATATAATCACAAGTCACAGTCTTTTGCATTTGTGTAGTCCTGCCTGAATGTTTTTCCTCTTATAAACTATTTGATCTGCTCAACTACCTTATGAGGTAGGTAGAATAGATATTTTAAAGACCCATTTTCCAGTGAAGACTAGGCTATGAACAGATTAAATAATTTTCCTAAAATCATACTGCTAGTTAATGATACAACTAAGACTTAAACAAAGTCCCTTAACTCCTGGCTACTTAATCTTTTAGAGTAGATCCCTATAGAATTCCCAGAACTTTTGCTAGGTGCCAAGTATACAAACACCAACAACAACCACCAAAAAAATCAGTGTGCCCTACAGGTGGCTTCTATTCTAAGAACTTCTGTCCTGCTTGAAAATATAATTGATTTTATAATTATGTATAAACTGGTTTTAGTTTTTACTGTTAATTGGCTTACAGAAAAATTATTGTTCATGATGACTGCTAATTTTTAAATAAATTTAGATTGCCTTTTATCTTAAAATAATATTGGCTTAATCAGACAGAGGAAAATCCACCCCTAAACGATTTGGCAATATTTTACTAGTAGCTTCAGGATGTCTGTGATAAGGTGATGTTAAGTAACATAGGATTATAATTCTTCTCTTTTCGTTATTCAGAACCAGTGATGAAATATGTGCATATTACATGTATATTGGAAGTTCTATCTTTTTGCCTGATAGTGGTTAGAACTAGTGTTAAATCAGCCTAAAGTCTAACCTTTTGTAAAAATACAACCCTTTTTAATGATACTCAAGGACTGCTAAAGGTAATCCTTTGAGTATCATTAATAAGGGTTGTATTTCCAAGGATGCACAATTTTATGCTTTGTTTCTTGTGCCAAACGGGTACAATCTTGCTAGTGATAATTCCTGGTATGCGATAGATTTGGGCTTTATTCTTACTTCCCTGTTCGTTTGGCTATTTGTATGTAGTAAGTTAGTATGTAAACAACTTTTAACAAGTGAGTTTAAGACCCATCATTATCAAAAGAAGCCTGTTTTGTCTTTGTTCTCTTTGCTTAATGTCTTCTTTTTGTGACTCTTTCCTCATCCGTTTATCTGGCTGTCAAGCTCTTTTGCCTTTCTGTCACCTTCTCCAGGCTGCATGCTTTCTGCTATTAGACATGTGCTCAGAATCTCTTCTAATCATCTGCCCGTCCCCTCCTCCCCACACACACAACCAACAGATCTATTAACACATAATATCCATTGGCAAAATATGCCAGCAGACTACTGCTTGGCAAGTGGCCTATGTTATCATTTCAGTGGCATTTATTTAATAAGAATTGGGTTGAGTCAGCTCTCTAAATACTATGAAAGAGAAACAAGTTAGAAGTATTTACTTTAAGATACAGTATATAAAAAAGTCCAAAGAGTAGATTTGTGACCTCTTTTTTGTTTATGAAGGTAATGTGTCACAGATTTTGAAGTGGCACAACACACAGAAGGAATACAATATTAGTATTTTACTTCCTGCATGATTTAAATGGTTATGATTTAGAATCTTAAAACAATTTCTCTTTAGTTCTGTTTAAGTGCTTATAAGCAGACATATAGCTCTGAATCAGATTTTGAGGGAGCAATTGTTTGGATCTTCACAAAACCTTTTTTTTTTTAATTCTTCCTTGTGGCATGGAGGTGACTGAGTCCTTAGGGTGATGCTAGAAGAGCACAAGAACTGGCAGGTTCTACCATGCTGGGAAGGTTTAATGCTGACAGTGGGATGTGTCTACTTCGCTCATGATGAGCATAAGCAAAAAGGCCACCATAAGCTAATCAATCAACAAGTATTTATTAAGCACCTACTATGTGTCAGACTTAGTAGTCTGGGCTAGCAAATGAGGACATAAAGGCAAAAATGAAAAGTCCTTGACCTCAAGGAGATTATGTTCTATCAGGAAAGACAAATACACATATTATAGAGGTATTAAATAAAATAAATATAATTTTTTTGGGGAAAGACCTCATATAAAAGGTGAGCAGTTAAACTGAGTCTTTGAGGAAACTGCATTCTAAGAAGTAAATGCGAGGAAGAGGTACATTCCAGGCACGTTGGGCAACCAGTGCAAAAGCATAGTGTAGAGGGTGAAATGTCATGTGAAATGAAATGGAAAGCCATTAGGAGACCAATTTGACTCAAGAATAGAGTTTATGGGGGAGGGGGGATAATGCTGAAAAACTAAGTTGGGGTCAAGTTGTAAAGAGTTTTACATTTCAAATAGAAGAGTTTATATTTAATCCTAGTAGTGATAGAGACCCATTAGAATTTTAATAGAGTGAGATTTGCCCCAGGTGGATAGTTAGGAGGGGGAGGACTTGAGACAGGGAAGTTAATTAGAAGGTTATTGCCATATTCCAGATGAGCAGTGATGAGAGCCTTAGAGTTCTGGCCCTAGGCATGTTGAGTTTCAGGTACCTGTGAGATAGCCATTATAAAACATACAGTAAGCAGTTGGTGATATGTGACTAGAGCTCAGGAGAACTATGAACCAGTTCAGCTCTACAGTGTCCTCCTCTCTTGATTCCCTGGCCCTCTTATCAAATCATATTGCTAATTGCTCCTAGCCATTGCTCAGCCTTGGAATTCTCCCACCATTCATCATTTTCAGTCCTACACAAATGCTGCTGAACAAAGATGGAGAACAACCATTCTTACTGGCTCCACCACAAATTTATGTTACACATCATCTGGGCCCTTACTAGGCAGTCCTCCTATACTGTACTATACTTCCTTTATCCACTATCTCATTCTCTACGGTGGCTCTTCAAGATCTCTTCATCCTTCCTCATCCTCCCAAAGATCCTCTTACCCTATTCTCTCAGCTGAGAATTTTGCCTCTTAATTTTACAGAAAAAAAAAATGAGATCATTCGCTATGACCCTCTTTGTTTCCTGTCACTCAGATGCCTCCTGCCACTATCTCCTCAATTTTCATTTTTGGCAGCATATTTCAAATATGCCCCTTCAATCCTCTGATACTACCAGCACCCTGGTGCAGGTCCTCATCACCTCATACCAGGACTACTACCATAGCCTGCTGGTGTATCTGCCTGTCTCAAGTCTCTTTCCACTCCAATTTATCCTCTATTCATTCATTAAAATGATTTTCTTAAAGCATAGGTATGTCCATGTCACCCACCTACTCAATAAATTCCCTTTCCAGTATTCTTACAACTTTATTTCCTGCCACATAGTCTTTGATCCAGTGATAGTGGCTTCTTGGCTGTTTCACAAACAAGACACTCCATCTTGGCTGTCCCCCATGCCTGGAAGGATCTCCCTCCTCTGCTTTTAATTATTGACCTCCCTGGCTTCCCTTTAAGTCCCAACTAAAATGCCATCTTCTGTAGGAAGCCTTCCTTAACCCCTCTGTATTCTAGTGCTTTCACTCTGTCAAAAGTTTTCTCTTTATGCCATATATGTTAATTTGTATGTATCTGTTAGCATATTGTCTCCCCCATTAGATCATGAGTTCCTTGGAGACAGAAACTGTCTTTTGTATCCCCAGTACTTAGTATGATACCTGGCACATAGTAGGTGCTTAATAAATGTTGATTAATCAATCAAAAGTCATCAGCAATTAACAGTCAGTTTGATTGATTGGATAGCATGTAGATTGAGGATCTAAATGAGCCTTTCCTCATAATTTAAAAAAAATGCATTAAAATCAACCAATGAAGCATAGAAGAAGAGTAGCATGTGAAACAGTCTGCACTTAGTACAAGGGAAGGAATTTATTTCTTTATCTCTTCTCCAAACTGTTACAGTTATATAATATTTGATTTGGTTTTAGTGTTCTTTTCATTTATGATATTCATGAATGTTATCTTAGTTTATCCTTACTTTACTCTGTATCAGAATATATACATCTCCCCATGTTTCTCTGAATTCCTCATAGTCCTAAAGTTCTTATAGTCAATTATTTCTTACATCACAGTAAGAAATGTTGCAGTAATATTTCATTACATTCATAGACCATAGTTTTTTCATCCCATGACCCAAACAAAGAGTGCCCACTTTGTTTTTATTTCTTTGCTATCACGTATTTTGGTATATATGGGTTCTTACTTTTTGTCTTTGAGAGGTATGTGCCTAATAATGGAATCTCTACATCAAAAGATATAAAACAGTTTAGTTACTTTTTTAAAAGCATAATTCTATTGATTTAAATTAAGTCTTGTCCATGGTAACTTCCAGATGGGCCAATTTCAGACTTATCTGCAAGTTCAGTGTTCCACCTTGCTGCATAATAAATAACAGAATCCAAGCCCTTAAAAGAAAAAGAGACAGGCTATGGAAGACCCTCAAGAAGCAATACATACTCTTACTAGGGCTATCCCTGGTCAAGAAAGAACCAGAAGGACTTTATTTCCTATAACTGTAAGATTTACCATTCCACATTAAATTAAATTCTTAAAAAAAAAACAAAAACAAAACAGGTTGGTAGGTGGTACAGTGGATTGACTGTTGGATTAGAATCAGTAAGACCTGAGTTTGAATCCTCTCTTCAGTACTTATCGGCTGTGTGACCCTGGACAAGTCACTTAATCTCTCAACTCAATCTCCTCTTCTATAAAATGAGGTTAATAATAGCACCTACCTCACAGGGTTGTGGGTTTCAATGAAACAAATTTTGTCAAGTGTTTTGTGAACCTTAAAGCACTCTAAAAATGCTAGCTGTTATTATCACTACAATATTGAGTAGATTGTTTTCTTTTTTCATTACATTAGAAGAGAAAACAGAAGTAACAAGTAACCCAGATAATTTTTTTTTGTCCTATGGCAGAGTATTAATAGGTAATGATAATCCCATGCAACCAAAACATGGAGATAGTCCTTTGAAATCGTTTTAGTAGATTTAGATCCAAATCAAGACTTGGGGACATAGATTAAGGAAAACGGGATGCTCTTTAGGTTTTTCTAAATTCAGTATGCGTTTCAAGATAAGTAACATCCCCAAAGTTCCTACTAAGGTACGTCCAAGTTAGAAATTAAATAAATACCTTTGTATTTATCTGTTTGTTACATTATCTATATAAATATTTCTATTTGTTCATCTCTCCAAAAGTATTAAAGCATAATTCTAAATTGTTTTCCAGAGCAGATAATCCCTTCACAATTCCACCAGTAGTTTGTTAATTGTGCCTGACTTCCCATAGCCCCTCCAACATTGACTATTTCCATCTTTTGTCATCTTGCCCAGTTCGGGGATTCCTCAGATTAATTTTAATTTGCGTCCTTTTAAGGTGATTTGGAACAATTTGTTTTTTAAACCAATGGTTTAGTGGTTATCACTCATTTGCAGTCCTTCAGTGAACTATGTAGGTGCTATAATGTAGTACAGTGCTATAATGTAGTACTCAACTAGACACAGATCTCTGTGGATCACATGTTATTTTAGAAAACCACAAGTTAACGTTATCTATGTTATATTATATTTTTACTTATTTCATTTCCCAATTATATTTTAATCTTTCTCAGCTGCACTCAGAATTTTGTGGGTCCAAATTGGACACCTCTGGTATAGTGGATAGAGTGCTGGACTTGGATTTTGGAAGGCTCGGGTTCAAATTCTACCTCAAAATTACTAGTTGTATGAACCTGGGCATATCACTTAACTTTAATTTGCCTCAGTTTCCTCATATATAAAATTGGGCTAATAATAGCACCTACCTCACAAAATTGTTGTGAGGATTGAATAAGATAATATACGTAAAGTGCTTTGTAAATCTTATTTAAGTGTTGTATAAATTTTATTATTATCATTATTCCCCTTTGGACTGCTTTTATTGGGGAGTGTTGCCTATCTAGAAGTGACAGAATTTTGAAAGCATTGAGGTATTAATTTTTAAGATAAGTAAAATAGAAGACTGGAAAAATAATTGAAAGTTTTACCAAAATAAAATAGACAAAAAGACATTAGTGACAACCAAATTACATGCCTACTCTTTCAGCTCTACAAAATCTTTGAGAATGATCTACGCATATATCAAGGGCATCCTTGATGAACATAGGAAAAGGAGACATAGGAACTTTTGCAAACCATATTCTATAGTAGATCATATCTTTATGGCCACACAATTGTCTGAAAAGTGCTGTAAACAAATATTTCATTTTGTTTATTGTTTGTATAGCAAAATTATCCTCAAACAAGATATCTCCCTTGTATATGTCACATTCATCTCAAGATAATCTGATACAGTTAACAATATAAACACTATATGATCCTGCGATTATCAGTATCAAACCAGGCATGAAGAAAAGATGTATGTATATCCATGTCTGTTGTAGAATACCAAAAGGAGAGGTAGTCTAAATATGTAGCACAATCCTGCACATGCTTCCAGTTGTGATTTACATTATGCCAATTGTATCAAGTGCTACAATATTGCAGAACCTCTCATGAGATATAGTCCACCAGTATGTATGTCTTGAACAAACAGTGCTGATTGATAGTACAACTAGCCCAGACTTGAATAGGTAGAAGTGAACCAGCTGGCTTGCCCTTGTGAAACTGTGCAGCCTTCTCAACAAACTTGGGCTTCTCTATAAAATTAAAAAACTCACCACTCTAATGGCAGTATATTTCTGGCAATGCTATATGGCTGCAAATCAGGAAATACCGCATTCTACACAAAGTTGAAACTGAGAGGCACCAAAAGAGCATTAGATGAACTGGCCTGAGGTGTATATTAGTAGGGTATTACATGTTACCAATGATGATGCGCATGAAAGAAATGGCAAAAAGTGCATAGTCAAAGTAATGGCCTCTAAGGACCTTCCAGCCCTAAATTTATAATATCACATGTATGATCTAAAAAGGAAGTGAGCTGGTGAAAAGAGCTGCCTTTGGTGCCCATGAAATATTAAAATATCTGTCACATCTATTAGATCCTCTCTAGAGGATTTATTAAAAAAAAAAAAGGAAAATAATCACAGGGTATGTGAGCTGAGATGGGCTATAGTTTCTAGGGATTAAAGGAATGCCTCTATCAGTGAGATAACTGATCCACTGAATTATTCAAGAAGTATGTGGCATTGTATCACATACCCACCCATCCTTCCCCAGTCTTCAGCATGAGTGTAAATAGCTGCATGGTACATCATCCTTCGATTTTTTTTCTGTTTATTTGCCAAATTTTCATAAAGCATTATTACTTATAGTAACAGTCACATTTGTATGTAGCTCTGTAAGAGTATAGAAATGTATTTTCCTCTCAGATAACCCTGTGATGAGATACACAGTGCAGCTATTATATATCCTCATTTTATAGATGAGGAAACAGACTTAGGAAGGTGGGTAACTTGTCCAGGTCCATGTGGTTGGTCAGTGACATGACCAGGCCTCAAACTGGAGCTTCTAGTTTCAAATCCATTGTGTTTTCTACTATTCTACACTAATTTTGTGGGTTTTTTTAAATATCCTAGTGATAATAAAAGACAGTTCCTTCATTTTGGTTTTTAATGCAGTAGAGAAGTCTTATATATGCTGATCTAGAAATTGACCTCATAGGAATTTTACGTGCTCTTATCTGCCTAGACTGTGTGGTAAATGAATGGAATAGAAAGATTTCAAGGTTAAAGTTAACTGCTAAAATAGATATCAGTTGTTAAATTAGTTTGGTTCATATTTATGCACATTTTGTTTTCTTATAGGAAATCTGTATTGCAAAGCACAGTGAAAAATTCCAGCAACGCCTTCGCAGTGAAGATGAATACAGGACACATCATTCAGTACAACTAGTGAGTTTGGGTACTTTGGTGATTGGATGTGAACTATTTAATGGTTTAAAGCTATATATTCGAATTAATTCAATTTCTTGAAAACTGATTTTGTTAAACCATTTTACTTCTTCCCTACTTCCCCAACACACTTCTAATATTTTCCACACTTAGAGTGTGAATGTGGATGTTTTGATAATTCTATTTTGGGGGAAGACATGTGGTTTAATTAGTACGTTTTAATTAGTACTCATTTTACAGATGGAATACAGATATACAATTGCTCTGTACCTAAAAATTGTTAGTGGATTGCCTGGGACACTGAAAAGTTAAGGGACCTGACCTCAGGTCTTGCTGACTAAGGCAAGCTCTGTCTACTACTTTATTATCTCTGCCCTTGAAAATAGCAGCCTTTATAAATACAGAGCTCTTAATTAATTCCATACTACTGGCTTAACATATAAAGAGCAGAAATACTATAGTTGAAAAGATGAATGATAACCCTCTCTTTTAAATTCATTCCAAATTAGCAACCACCCACAAAACTTTTTGTGGTTTCAACTTTTACCTAGAGGCTATAAGAGAACAAAATGAAATTAATTTAGCATTCTGTTTATCTTACCCGATTAAAACTGCTCATCTCTATGTTTGGGACTTTTTTGTAAGGTTTCCATCAGAGCCAGTTTTATAGTAGATGAAGTAGTTTGGAGTGTTGTTTTAGGGGTAACCAAAAGGTTCTCCCTTTTATTTTCTCTTTTCTTCCCTATATTCTCTTCCTTGTCCCCAACCCCCCCCCAAATCAGGTCATTTGTGATTAAAATTCTATAACTAATTTCAGGCTTTTGATTTAAGGTTCTGTCCCTTATTACAGTGAGTCTTATCAATCTTTTATGCATCCCTGTAACTAAGACATGTATGTGCTAGTCAGTCAGTGAGGAAGCATTTATTAAACTTTAAGATGTGTATGTGCTAGTCAGTCAGTGAGGAAGCATTTATTAAACTTAAGTACCAGGCACTGGGGGCAGCTAGGTGGCGCAGTGGATAGAGCACCGGCTCTGGATTCAGGAGGACCTGAGTTCAAATTTGGCCTCAGACACATAACACTTACTAGCTTTATGATTCTGGGCAAGTCACTTAACCCCATTGCCTAGCCAAAAAAAAATGTACCAGGCATTGAATTAAGTACTGGGTATACAAACAAAGGGAAAAAAAGTCCCTGCTCTCAAGGACTCACAGTCTAATGAGAGAGACAGTAAATATGTACAAACAAGCTGTAAACTAGATACATAAATAGTAAGTAATTAACAGAGAAAAGGCACTAGAGAAATTGGGGAGAGCTTTCTGTAGAAGAAGGGATTTTAGCTGAGATTTGAAAGAATTCAGGAGAGGCAGTAGGCGGAGATAAGGAGAGAGGCATGGAGAGCAGCCAGAAAAAATGCTGGGAGCTGAGAGATGGATTGTCTTGTATACAGAAGAGAAAGGAGGTCAGTGTCACTTGATCAAAGAGTATTTGGGATGAGGGTTACAAGGTATAAAAATACTGAAAGGGTAGTGAGGGGGGAGTGGCTAGGATATGAAGGACGTTGAATACCAGAGAGAGTTTACTTAGTAGGGGGTAACATGGTCTTAATGCTTTAGGAAAATCATTTCGGTGTCTGAATGGTGAATGGACCTGAGTGGAGAGAGACTTGTGGCAGACAGACTAACCAGCAAGTTATTGCATTAGTCCAGGTATGAGGTGATGAGGGCTTGCACCAGGGTGATGACAGTATCAGATGAGAGAAGGGAGCACCTTCAAGAGATGTTGCAAAGGTGAAATCAGAAGATTTTGGCAACATATTGAATATGGGGGTGGGGGAGAAGATAGCAAAGTATACAGAATCTAACCTATGTTGCAAGCCTAGGAACTGGGAGGATGGTATTGCCCTCCACAGTAACAGGGAAGTTCAGAAGAGAGGGGAAGGCTTGTGGGAAAAGATAATGAATTTAGTTTTGAACATGTTGAGTTTAAGGTGTCTACTGTACATCCAGTTCAAGAGGTCTGAAAGGCAGTTGGAGATACAAGATTGAAGGTCAGTAGAAAGCTTAGAACAGAATAGGTAGATCTGAGAATCATCAGAGTAGAAATGGTAATCAGATTCATAGGAGGTAATGAGATCATCGATTGAAGTAATATGTAGAGAGAATAGGCCACAGGACAGAGCCCTGTGGGACACCCTTCCTGGGTCTGTGTGAGTTGGATGAATATCTGTCTAGCAAAGGAGACTAAGAAAGAGCAGTCACATAGGTAGGAGAAGAACCAGCAGAGAGTGGTGTCATGAAAATCTAGAGATGAGAGTCTCAAGGAAGAGAGGGTGATCAGTATTGTCAAAGGCTACAGAGAGGTCAAGAAGAATGAGGATTGAGAAAAGGGCATTGGATTTGGCAACTAAGAGATCATTAGTAACTTTGGAGAGAGCAGTTTTGGTGGAGAGGAAGTGGAGGTATCTATTACAGATGACCTTAGCCACAAAGGGCAGAAGAGATACAGGATAGTAGTTATGGGGATGAAAGGATTAAATGAGGGTTTTTTGAGGATGGGGAGACATGGGTATGTTGTAGGCAGTAGGGAATCTGCCAGTAGACAGGGAAGGATTGAAGAGAAGTGAGAGAGTAGGGATGACAGAAGTGGGGGGAGGGGGAAGCAAATGTGCAGATAGCAGATTAGCCTTGGCAAGAATTTTAGGGCCACCTTTTTGTGGGAGGCTAGTGAAGGAGGTCATGGCAGAAGGCCTGAGTGAGATGAGGTGGAGAAGAGGGAGCTCTTGGCCAGTGGCCTCAACTTTTTCTGTAAAATAGGAGGCAAGGTTGTTGACCAAGAGAGAGGGGGAGGGGGAGCGGGAGCTGTAAGAGGTTTGAGGAAGAATGAAAAAGAAGAGCTGCTGTGGAGAGTGGGATAGAAAGTTGATAAAGGTAGATGGAGGGAAGAGGGAGTTCTCAGCAACTGGCCTTCACTCTGGTCTCTGGTGGAAAGGTAATCATTTTTCCTTGCCAAGGCAAATCCCTTGATCCCATGCCCTCCTGACTTCTCCAACACATTGTCCCCACTATTATCTCCATTATCACTCTTATCAGCCCTTGCCTTCATTCAGTCTCCCTATCTATTGGTTCTTTCCCTTCTGACTGCTCCTTCTCATGTTCCCTTATCTGTTTAAAACAAACTTCATTTGACCTGACCATTCCTGCTAGTTAGCTGTCATCTCCCTTTCATGGTTAAATTCCTTGAGAAAGCAACCTACAATCTGTGCCTGCAAGTCTTTCTCTTTCATTCTGTTCTAAACCATCTACAGTCTGCCTTACATTCTTTCATTCAACTAAAATCAACCTCTAAAGTTATTAGTGACCTCTTAATTGCTAATTCTAATGGACTTTGCTCAGTTCTTTTCCTCCTTAACATCTTTTGTGGTAGACAACATCTATCACCTCCTTGTACCCTCTCCAATATGGGTTTTTGCAATGCTCTATCAGTCTAACCATGTTACTTCCCTAGTCAGTAATCTCTAGGTGTCTGGGTAAGTCTAGCATCAGATATAAATTTCTCTGTCATTTAAAGCTCTCTATAACCTGGCCCATTCCTACTTTGCCATCGTTCTTATACTTTACTTTTTGATCAAGTGACACTGACCTGTTTGCCCTTTCTCCTCATCTTGAGACTTTACTCTGTCAGATCACCCTCAGTCTGTTCTGTGTATACTGTATACCTAGTTATTTATTGTCTGTTCCATTATTAGAATGTACATTCCTTGAGGGCAGGAACAATTTTTTGCCTTTATTTATATCTCCAGTGTTTAGCACATACTTCAAACTTAATAGTGCTTGTTGGACTGACACATTGTGAAAGAAGGATTTGATTCAAAGAGACTGTAGAGAAAGCCTGAGATCAAAGGTACATAAATGGGATAGCAAAAACAAATTTTGCTTCACAGTTTTGCCTAGGCCCAGGCCTGCACAAATAATCTGAGTTGGTGATATGAATTCCTAATTCATAAAATGAATTCCTAAATGAAATAAAAAATTTGGAGTAGCCTTAGGAAACATATAAATGTGTATATGTACATGTTTTTTCCTCAAAATTTTGACAAATTATGTTTTATTTAAAAAAAGATTTCATTTGATGCCTTTTATTTCATTGATTTCCAGACATACCTCTCCCTTCTCATTAAATGAGCCTCTCCTTGTAGCAAAGATTTGACCTTGACCCATCAACCATGTATGACAGTGTATGAAACATTTCATAACTAATCTTTTCTCCAGAACAAGGGGGCAGGAACATTTTCTCAGTTCTTCTCTGGGCCATTATTCAGTTTTATTTTATTGTTCTTCCTATTTACATTGTTGTTTATATTTTCCTAGTTCTGTATACTTTATATCAGTTCATATACATCTTCTTATTCTCTGAGTTCTTCGTATTCATTGTTTCTTATGGCAGTATTCCATTACATTCATGTACCAAAATTTTTATAGCCATTTTCATGTAATGGGCATATTAATTGTTAATAATTTATAATTTTTCAGAAGCATTATAATACAAGATGTCCAAGTATTATATGAAACAATGCCTTTGGGTACACAATTTCCAAAAATCCCAACAACTTCATTATTTGCCTTTCCAAGAAGGACTTATGAACCATCCTTCCATTTAGTTGTAATTTCCTTTTCTCTTATGGTTTAATTTGTGGTGTGCATGCCATGATTGATATACTACAGTTCCTTCAGCAGTGCATCTACTTGTTGATCACAGAACAAGGATCTCACAATTAGAACAGCCGCAGTTAAGTTCACCTTAATAGCTGGCATAATAACTGTGCTAGTCTTAGTTTGCTCTGCTCCCTTTTTGGCCTCTTTCGTTGTCACTCTAGAAGTAGGATGGTGCCACACGGGACTCATGGCCCATGTGTATTGGTTTGTTTCATGAGTCACCAAAATTCTTGTGGATTACTACTACTAAAAAATTAAATTATCAGTAAGGGGCAAGGACTATG